AGAAACATCAGACTACCTTATAGTGAAACAGCTCATTAGAAACCAGAGCAACACAAGCATAAAAAAAAAAATTCTCCAGCTCCCAAACAAACCCACAATCACAGCCACTAAAGTTTATAACTGAGGAGAATACAAAACAATCAGTAGTTCACAGACTGACATTATAAACCATACAGTGAAAGACAGAGATGAAAGCAGGGAGAGAGAAAAGAAAACCAGACTCAAGACAAGTGAAACATTTTTCTCACCCAATGCACTGAAGATATTCCAGGATGGAGCAGAATCTTTATTTCTCCTCAGGCCTCAAGCTGCCTGTCAGAGCCCTTACTCAGTACGTTGCCTCCATTGGCTTTCTCATCACTCCTCCCTGGCTTGCTGTGGATTTACACTTGCCTCCTCAAAATTCCACGAACTTATTTTCATTTTGGGTAATTTTTTTATTCTGGCAATGTTTAGTCATGACTGAGGTTTTGAGAGAGCGATAAGAAGCTAAGTACTGAGATGGCCCCGAGGGCTGTCAGGGCTCCGAGTCGGTCTGCATGCACATGAACACACAAAAATGCTCCTGCTGGGTGTACCCATGAACATGCAAATACTTATTTGCATACATGTTCACATAAAGGCACATAACACATGCTAACCCCCCCCCCATACACACACACACACACACACACACACAAATGCACACCACACTGGCTTCTCATCAAAATGCCTCTCTTTGCTTTTTCTTTTTGTCAGGGAGATGTTGTCATTACCGAAACATGCCTGACCCTCATCTGTCAGTAGTGTTTATAATGATATCATGACAGACACTTGTACATACCACAAGAGAGGTTTTATTTAAATTTTTTATTTTATAGAACTCCCCTCCTACACATAGCTGTGTTGATATGTTGCCTGTGTGGTGCTTCTGTGTATAATGGCCAGAGGGGGAGAGAGAGAGTGAAGTACATAAAGTGGGCAAGAGACACAGAGAAAAGGAGGCATTTTGTTTCTCAGTGTAGGTTAATATACATCTTATGATCCCTCACTGGCTCCCAAATCCGCTTGGTCACTTTCCTACACCTTTCTACCCATAAATCACCAGGCAATACATATCATTGTGACCCTTTTCTGTGCCCCTCCTCTGCACCTTTTCCACCTTTCCAAATTTGGAGAAGCAAGGTGCCGAGTGTGAGCTTGTGTTGGGCATGGCAGTGTTTGCCAGTTAACACCGATGTCTCATGTCATTTGCACATACAGTAAGTATTTTTGTTTCTTGATCCAGCCATCACCCATTGTTACAAGTCTGAGAATGTGTATGGTGTTTGGTTGTAACTCTTTTCCTTGTTCTCTCCATGTATTGTGGGTTTCCCTTGCTTCTCTCCTCTTTGCTATCTTTCTCTCTGATACACAGGTTCTCTCTGTGGGTTTGCTTCATTCCAGGACCACCTCCTTCCTCTACTACTGTGCTCCTGAGAGGCCCATTTGAACTTAATTGGATGCTGTTCCCTCCAATCTCTGCCTACCACATGCTGCCTCAGTGTATAATAGATCCTTTGGGGGTGGGGGGATTTGCACTGTGAGATGGACCAGGTCAGACCTGGTCCCCTACATGTAGATACTGCTTTCTGTCCAACCTTACCATCTGCACCAACATAACTTTATGATCTAAATCCTGTTGTTGGTTTTTTTTTAATTGTTTTTCTTCCTTCTCTTCAAAGCTTTCATTTCTTGACCTTTTTTGTGTAGCTGTCTCGACTAACACTAAACTCAGTAGCCTGCCAGCCTGCAAGCGTGTCAGCGGTTGTGTCCATAATCACTCCCTATTCGCTCATTCACTACTCCCTGTAAAAATGTAGGGTCTGCTACACTAAGCAGTTCACTCAGTAGTGACCAGTAAATTGCATTGTAGGGTTGTTAGTAGAAAGTAGCGTACACGGCATGTACACTACTTTTTATGCTCCATTGTGGATTTTTGAGTGGCCTGTATAGTGGATAGATTTAAACACTCAGCATTCTGACACCACTACAACATGGTGAGCACACAATATAGTGCACTATATAGTGAGTATGGAGTGATTTCAGCCGCAGCCAATAAAGCGTGTTCACACATTGGGTGACAGCCTTGAGCTCCCACCCCTGAAGGTGGCCCTCTCTGATTGGTTAGGAGAGCCATCCTGGTCAAAAACCTTAAGAAGGGAATGTCTCTGCACTGCTACCAGGCTGTTTGGTGAGTCTGGGGTCACAGGAGCCTTTGACAGCAATTCTCCCCATAAAGATAAGTGTAGGGGGGTGGATGTTTCTAAAAACAAATTGAATAATGTTACCTACTGTAGCGTTTTAAGTACACTAGTTAGTAGATGGATGCCACCCCATGTGTTTGGGACCTAAGTAGGAGAGTGTTTTTCTCTCCCTCTCCCTGTTCATTTCTTTTAGAAATATTTTGCTTTGGCTCCACCTTCAGGTCCTCACCATCTCACTTGGGGTACCTTGAGCATGTTTGTAAAGTATAGTTTGTCTGTTTATCCGTTGTCTAGTGTAAAAACACTGCCGGAGCCTGGGCTTACAGTAGGAGTTCTCCCTCATCCCCTGCTAAGAGGTTGTTGAATTGGCAAACATAAGATTTTCAGACAAGAAAATTGGAAGAACACATGAACATGTCTGCAACAACAGCGCCACCCTCTGGATGTTGCGCGCACTTGCATTATCCGAGGACGGAGGTTTGAAATTATTTGGCTCACAAAAAAATTAATCAGCCAAAAAGCGACTGCAAAATAGTTTAAGTACATGTATTCTCACTGTGATTCGTACAGCTTGGTTGATTTATTATGGGGTTTTTTTACTTGATAATATATATAGATATGTATATCACATAGATATTTGACCATGTCCTTCTCTTCACTGCTTTAAGCTGTTAAACCATTCCGCCTCGGAGCCTGAGGTTATTTATGTAACAGAATGAAATCACATCTTGAGAAGTCTTGCCATTGAGCCTTTTCACCGCTAGATGGGGAAGTGGGGAAGCAAAATTGGAAGAATAGTCCTTTCTCCTCCAGCAAAAGAGCTGCATTAAATCTCCTGTTTTAAGCTGCGCGTATACTGCTCTTCTGAAGCCCCCGAAGCAGAGAGCCTAGTTCCTTGGGCGTCATATGATAAGGCTGGAGGAGAGCCAGCAGGGGCCCCGTTTGGAGAGGAGGACCCATATCTCAGTCAGCGCGCGCAGCCTGGGCCCCCTTTATCTCCGCAAGGCAGAGAGGCGTATCCTTTCCCCCTCTGCACTCCCCTCCACATAGCTCTCTGACTCTCTCTCACCCATACACAGCTACAACCTGCTTCAGACGACGCCCCACAGCTCATGAGGTTTACACCAAGGGAGCAGAGCAAAGTCTGTCGTAGTGTCTTCTTAACTGTCCGGCTGTGTGCGCAAGCTGCCCGCGGCCTCACCTCAGCAATAACATAAGGGGTGCCGGCTTGAAGAAGAGGAGGAGGAGGAGGAGGAGGAGAGGAAGGGGTGTCAGAGTGTTCCGAATTGACGCTCAGAAATAAACAAGAAGACACCCTGTTTGGAAGACGTTTGCGGCGGGAAGCGACGGTGATCTGATACTGAGTAAGTCGTGATTTACAGTGTGGGGTGGTGGCCCCCGTGTTTTCTTGTCGCTGACCTGCTTTTGGTGTTTTTGTGCAGCGGTGTCATATTTAAGCTTCCACCCGGACAGCACCGTTTGACACAAGGGATGACAGAGGTGGAGACGAATAAGAAAAATGTTGGAATCGTCTGTTGCGGTGAAAATCTTACTATAAACACTGATGCGTTAATGTGAGGCTGCAACTCGTCATCACAAGAAGCGCACCACCCTTTAAGGACATGCACGTTCAGAATAACCAGTCACCGTAGAACCAGGCGCTGCTTTTGAGAGGAATTCTAGAAAACAAGCTGCATTATTACGGCATGTCAACATCTTTTATTAGGCTGCACGCCTATGGCCGCTTTACTGTACAGTTGCAGCCAGGCCGACAGGTGTAACAGGACGACATGTTTACGCGAATGCCTGTGATGATCCATCATGTGATATCGATCTGTTTGCGAGGAGAGTGATTCAGGATGTCTCTTTTTGCCTCGACGATGAATTTCTAGTGGCGCCAGCCGTGCACGGCCGTCACTGCATGGGTGAGAGATGCTGAGTGGTTGCAGCCTGTGGAGGAGAGGAGAGGGGAGGAACAGGGTACTCTTTGGCGTGTTGTGATGTGAGCAGTCTGCTCCAACATGGCGCGCATGAGCTGATAAACCTTGGCAATTACATACTCTGGTCTGGAATTTCCACTGTGCAGTGGACCAGGCAGCTGGGTTTAGAAAAGCACAAAATGGGACATTGCAGCTCTAAGTGTCCGAGGTTTTGCTCGAAGTAAATTCGGCTCAGGTTTCCTCCTCTGGCTCCTCCATCCTCTTAGAAAGTCACAGCCCCGCGTTTATATTATGGGTCTGTTGCTATTTTTGTCTGTGAATAGCAGAATATCAATCGGACCATCTGCGTTAATAGGCGCTTACTGTTTCTGTAATTATGTTTGATCACAGCAGGTATAGGCAAAGTATGTTTTTGTTTGGTCTTATGTCCATTGTTTATCTGCCCTGTGAACCTACGTGACTGTTGTGGACTAATCATTGTTGAGCAGCAAGTGCACGATGATAGCATAGGGTCTATAAACATAACACACCCATTAGATTTCTGAGGGAATTCATGTGCGTCCTTGAAGAACAGACAGGACATTAACTCTTTGTTTTGTTCAGCTAAACAGCCAGGGCAACACCTGTTTGATTTGCAGGGAAATCAGTGTAGTGAAAGCCATTCTTTATTTGTGACTATTAATCATGAGGTGATTCATTCGTCATGTCATCACAGGTGTGAATGTGTTGTTCTTGAAAAGGGGCCAGTGTGACTTAATTTTAACTGGCAGTGTTTGAAAAATAAAGACAAGTGCAAGGAATTATGTTTTGGTGTAACAAGTAGATGAGTAAGTGTCGGCTCCTGCAACATTTTGAGCTCTCTGCTGCCTTATTCTGGCGTGTCACCGATATTCTCAACATACTCTAAATCAAGTAAAGAATCAAAAGAATTTATTTTTCATCATGAATTGTGACGCAAGACATGATGAAGGAAACAGCCTAAGAAAATACAGATACAAATCACAGCGCTCTAGGTTCCTGTTAGCCGATGTACATTAGTCTTTATTGTTCAAAGTAGTGGAAATTTGTCAGTGGTTATTACAAAATACAAAATAAAATGCAGATCTTTGCACTCATGGCTTAAAGCAAATTAATAATAGTAAAATATAGGAAGTATCTGCATTAAAAGAATCATATTGAAAGAGATTTTTTGAGAATAAAGACCATTAATGGGGACTTTCTGTCTGGTACAATACCAGAAGAGGTAGAAGAAGAATTACAGCAACAGTGTCAGGTCTCTGGCACTGTTTTATTCTGTTCTGTCATTTTATTATATGAGCGAGACAAGTCCACCATAGGCCTCAGCCTGTCTGTGTGAGCTGACGGGCTATATCTGGTTGGCTGCTCTGTGTTGTGTCAGCAACTCGCAGCGGAGTTGACAGCGGTTGTCTTATCCACCACAATCATCATTAGACATAATGGCTCTGGACAGCTGTGTACAGTCTGTCTGTTTTTGTATGTATGACTGTGTGTGTCTATGCTGGTTTGCATTCAGTATGTGCAGATTTGTATGTGTTTTAGTTGGTTAAGAGACCCACAAACATGGATAGCATGTCTGCTTGTGCGTTGATGACTGTGTCTTTCAGGCTGGGCACTGGGTTGGATCTTGTTTCACCAATTTAGAAAAGGGAAATGAGCTTGTAACCGGAACCTCATTCATTCCTAATCTTGGACTCCTAGTGAAAAATGGGGTGAAATATGAATCAGTCACACTTGTTACAGAAATGCTTGGTGCACAGGACTGGAAGAAAATGTTCATACTGAGCAGCTTCTTAGAGTATAAATGCAGAACAGTTGCCAAAATGAGCACACTCACCGACTGCCCTTAAAAAGGCAGCGGACACCCATGACATTGCATTGCTGCTGATATTTAAACTAAAAAGCTGCTGTGTCACAAATCCATCACTATTCGCCAGTTCTCACTTACACACGTAGTCTGCACATCATCAAGGCAGCTACAACCAGTGTAAAGCTTGTATGTGAAAGGGGGGTTGCTCGATGGACTGACGGACAAATTTATCGACTAACTGGTGCACATAGTGGAACATTTAGCAAATGTAAGCCAGGAATTTCCCTTATAGGCGTTGGCGGAGACCAGAAACAGAGGTGATATAAGAGTAAAGTTGCTTTGTATGTACTGAATTAGTAAATAAACAAATGTTTGCTAACATGTTGGTCATATTAAAAAGTATTAGTATGTCAGTGTTGTGTTTACATTTTGTATCCACTGCCCCCAAGTCACCAAAACAATCAGTTAAGTTTAATGAAGATGCTACAGGTAACTTCTACATTAAGAATGAAAGTAATGGGCCTAATATTAGAATTTTAACAGAACACCACCTCTGTTTTTGGATAATCACAATTTATTAGCTTTTCATTGGCACGGCATCATTTCAAGAGAAGAGCAGGTCTCTCACATCCATATCCTGTGAGTGATCGGCGATGGACAGGGATGGATAATTACCCTCGCTGACCTTGCTGTCAATTAGAAATCAATTTATGCAGTGGTTATAAAATCAGAGCAGTAAGCTGCTCATGGAAAATGAATGACATGCAGAAGCCCTTACGGTCTTTTGTGCTGAGCGATCGTATTGTAAAGTAAAAGGAAGGGGAAGTGAAGGCTTGCTCAGCAAGCCTACAGAGTGATAAGGAGGAACATCTGGGCAGATGTGAGATATTATTAGATAATGTGATGCAATCCACCTTGCCCCGTCTGTCTCCATGTTTTCTCTTTCTATTAATCTCTGCCTCCTCTTTCTTTCCTGCATAGTCACTTCTTCTTTTTGCTCATTACAAACCACCCTCCTTGCTGCTTTGCCATGACAGATAAGGGAAGAGAGGATTTGTTTTTTCACTCTGTCTTCTAATAAAATGTCTTTTTTAACCACTGTCATTTTAATCTCGGAGGGAAATGTGCTTGGCAGTTCGTGTGTGTGTATTCACCCTGCCCTCACACTCATATGATGATCATCAGAGTTGTTGCAAACATGATATCAAAAGAACTATTGATTAGCAGCACAGTAGGACCATCCCTCCACAGAGATTAACACATGGACATTTGGTTTAAGGGTTAGAAGGAGAATAATATGAGGACTTGTGAGTGAAACTGGTTTTTTATAATCCCAGAAGATGTTGGACAGGCTGATATTGGACAGACATACTTAGCATAGACATTTGCCTGAGCTTCTTGACATCCTTAAGTGGAGACTGGGACCCTGCCATAAGGAGAGGCCCCTTTTTCACCTAATGGTTTCAGTGTTAACGTTGAGAGGTTGCTCCAATAATGTGTGCCTTTTTTGGCACAGCAGGACACAGAAAAAAGTACACTATGGAAATTGACTGAAAACATAAAAGCGATGCAGTCTGCAGGTCGTGGTGATGTTAATGCTTTTACAATGTTTTTCCAAAAAGATGCCGACTGAGGTAAAAGTCAGTGATCAGAGACACTGCCCTGTTCTTTGTTCATTCGAATTAAATTCTCCTAACATTTTTACTCAGCAGATCTCAAAAGATTTACAGTGTTTATTGTTGTGGAAGTTATAAAGATGGAGTATGGTTATGTAAAGAAATGTGGGCATCCAGGAAAAAGAGACACTTGGTAAAGAGGCAGAACAAGAATGAGGTTTGTGAGGCATGTGACACTGAGATGAAAATGTTTAGGCATGTTAGTAAGTGATAAGAAAGTAGCTAAAGGCAGACATATATTTTCAGGTCACGTTTGGATGATGCTTGGCCAAAATGTGGACTTTGTCATTATGCTTCACACTAAGTGCTCCCACACCTTTCTGTCTAAATAGGAAATATACAGGATGCTGACTTTCAGGAGGTTTTTCTTTGATTTGACACATCTAATACAATTCAGTAGTCACAGACAGCACCAGTCAGTATCATGTTTATCATGTTGTACACTATCATCTGTTCTTTGGAGGAGATTTGTCAAGTCAGAGAAGATAATCCTAATGATCTCACCAGCTTGGACTTGAAAAGTAGAAATTTTTTGGATAGTGGATAGTAATGAGGCCGGGAGGGTCTAATGAAAAGACACCATTTAGTGCCATTATAGTCTATGATCTGGCATTTTTTTGGAGCTTGACTGATACTTGGAAATGTAATAATGTTGCAGTAAAAGTCGGGATATTTTGACCTTGTTTATTCCATCTGCTGCAAGTTCCAGAACAATATCTAAGTTCATTAACTTGTCTTGGGCTACTGACAGCGGGACAAGTACGACATCAGAGCTGACCCTTTCACCCCACGTGTCGCCTTGCGTTTCGCTTCCCATTTGTTCTTCTGACATTAAAGTTACACAGTGTTTCCCTCTCTTCTGTACTGACTGGGCTATTATTTATGGATGACCTCAGGGGGAAAGATGTTTTACCCTCTGG